CCTCCCGGCTGGCTCCTGCTGGGCGCCGCAGCCTTTCTGCTCCTGGCCTATTTCTCGAAAAGGCGGGTCCCCAAGAACTCCCCGCCGGGGCCCTGGAGTCTGCCCGTCTTCGGAATGTTCTTACAGCTGGACATGAAGCGGCCACACCTGTCGATTCAGAAGGTAGGCGCGGGCTGGGTGCCGGACGGGTCCTCGCCCGACCCGAAGGGCAGGACAGGCATGGGGACCTGGGGGTGCAAAGCGGGGGACCCGGGACTCTACTTAAAAACGCTTATTGCCTGTTTTGAAAGTTGCTAAGAAAACAGATCTTAAAAGTTGGCACACACGCGCTCATTCACTTGGACAGCTATGTGGTATTGTCAGGACGCCAGGGCTTTTTTAAATTGAGGTGTCATTGGCATATAACAGTATATTAGTTTCAGAGGTACAATATCATGATTTGACATTTGTAGACGTTTGGGGAATGATCACCACAGTAAGTCTAGTTCATGTCTGTCACCATACATAGTTACAAAAACTTTTCTTGTGATGCAAACTTTTAAGATCTACTCTCTTAGCAACTTTCAAATATGCAGCACAGCATTAACTGTAGTCACCGTACTGGGCTTATTTATTTTATAACTGCAAGATTGTACCCTTTGACGCCTTTCCTCCTGTTGCCAACTCCTCACTTTCACTCTCTGGCTTCCACTAAACTCTAAGGTCCTAGGTGCCACCTCAGGTTCATGGTCTTGTCCTCAAATCCTGTGCAAAGTCTAGACAGTTGCCTCCACCACTCAATAGCTTTGTCACCTCGGCTGCGTGCCTTCAGCTACAAATCGTTTTCCTTTTCTGAAAGCCAAGGAAAATCATTACTGCCACAAGGGACTTGTGAGATTAAATGAGATACAGTGTGGAAGGTGCTTACATGGGTACCCAGCGAGCGTGGCCGTCTGTGACCAGGAGTGCCTGTGCTCTGTTCCTCTCTGTCACCACCAGCGCACGCCCACATCTTTGTGCACACAGGGCTCCTTCATTCCTCAGAGACTCGCGTGGCTATCCGCCAGGTACCAGAAAACAAAGTGCCTTTCACATTGCTGCCCCCTTTCTTCCTCTCAGAACCCTTTCAGGGAGGGATCATTTTCTCCCTTTCATAGCTGGGGACTGAGGCTCAAAAAAAGTGAGACAGTTTTCTCAGGAGCGCACAGCTGGTGACCCACGGAGCTAAGATTCACACGCAGCCCCAGAGCTAGAGCGCTTTCTCCACACCTGGCCCCAGCCCTATAGTGAGGGAACTTCCTATCTTCTCGCATATGCTGAGAAAGGGGACGATCTCTCTTGGGTAAATGGATATGATTTAGTAAGAAGCCCGTGCTTGTTGCACCAGACTTTCACTGCACGGTTCTCAGCCATCTGGGGGAGGCTCATGTTATGAATTCTCTCCCTTTACTAGACTCTAAGATGCGTGAGGTTAGAGGCCGTGTTTGTTTTATTGAAGTTATCTCCATACCTCATTTTCAGAACAATGGTAGATGCTCGCTCACTTTTTATGGATTGACTATATGAATGAATGTTTTATAAGGTATGTCCACGTTCTGTAGTGACATCCAGGTCTGGTTGAGAAATGGAGGAGGGGGATCAGGGCACACACCCACACCCTCAGTTCAAGTCCCCCACCTCCACACACTTCCCTCTTCCCCAGACACAGAGATGTGCCTACTCAACTGTGACGGTTTGTTTTTCAGTATGTGAAGGAATATGGGAACATTTTCATCATGGACATCAGCATGTGGTCTTCAGTCCTTTTAACTGGATTGCCTTTAATCAAAGAGGCCCTTGTCCAGGGACAAAACATAGCAGACCGCCCCAGGTACCCTGTTCAAGAACGGATCTGTAAGAATAAAGGTGAGCATCTTGACCGATGTCAGATATGTATGTTTAATATTTTTAAGGTTTGTCAGCGGTGCCTCTGTGACTATAATTCTCCAACACTCCCCAGAGACCAAGCCTCTTATGAAACTCCTGCCTTTAAAGGAAGCTTGGTGCTCACAGTTCCCCGGGAGGGCGCCCTCTCAGGGCTCAGGCAGAGTCAGCGCTGATGGGGCGCCTTTGGAAAAGGCTGCATCCCCTCGTGAACTCTCTCTGGGTGCTCTGATGACCGCCTAGCCCGTCACCCCATGAGAGCAGAGAGAGAGGCGGTGCACTCGCTCCTTCTGCATTCCCACTGCAAGTCCCTTCCCCTAGGAAAGCAGTGTGGATCTGCTTCCTTCCGTTGCTTTCCTGATTTCTTCCTCTCGTCTCCAGTTCCTTATGCTGTGTCATCAAGGTGTCCATAGGTCATCTCCAGACTTCCAGTCTATGCTGGAACAGTTTGGCATGAATAGTTTAAGTGATCATTAAATAATCTTAAACATTTAAAAATCTAAATGGAAAATTCAAATTTATTGCTCTACCAAAGCACCTTTTTTTTTTTTTTTTAGGTGCTTCCCAATTCCTCTTTGAAATATTTTACTAACTTTACATCCATGTACTGTATTGATTATCTGCAAAGCGAAGCACAGTGCTAGGCACCAGTGACATAACAGTGAGAGGACAGATAAAATTCATGTCCCCATGTCATCAAATCCAATTCAGAGAGGACTATCAACTACCTAATAATGTGGACAAGGGCAGGATTTACTTACTAGGGGCATCTAACCTAGTCCTGGGGTTCAGGAAAAAACTAATGTAAGTAAATGACAATTAATTATAAAGTAAAGAAGCAATCAGGCAGAGGGAATAGAATATAAAAAGACCCTGAGGTGAGCAAGAAGACAGTGAACTTGAGGAAATGAAGACGTGGCCAGTGTGGCAAGCACAGGGACTAAGTGGAATAATCAAGTGGAAATGAAGCTGCTGAGCTTGGCCTGGAATAGGTTATGCAAGTTCTTGGTTAGGATATTGGTTTTTAACCTAATAACAGTGAAGCTCTTGAATGGTTTTCAGTAGAGAAAGGAATTTTCATATTTACATTTAAAAAACTTATTTGGGCTGCAATGTAGAAAATGGAATAAAGGAAGCAAGAGACTGTTGCAGCATTTTAAGTTAGAGAAGGTGGTAGCTTGGACTAGGGAGGTGGCAAGAAAGGACAATAGGTTCATCTGGGACAGTAGCAGGGAAGATACATGGATTTAAGATGTTAAGGAGGTAAATCCAGTAAAACATGATGACCTAGAGGCAGGGAGAGTGGAGGGAGACTGAAGTGTTGAGGTTGACACCCAAATGGATGGATTGATGGAAAGAAGGAACATTTGGAGGACAGGGTGTTTGGTTTGGCCTGGTGGGGAGTTGCGTGGAGAAAAGCATGAATTCAATCATGGATAGGCTGAGTATGAAATGCCTTCAAGCTGGCCAAGTCAAGCAGACCGCTGTATATCTGTGTCTGGAGCTCAGGGGCACAAATAGAAGGTCACTACCTACAGATGTTATTTAAAATTTCAGGTGTTGTAAGATTTCCCAGAAAAGGAGTATAGGGTAAGAAGAGAAGACCTTATCTTGAAGAACTCCATCATTTCGGAATTTGGTAGGAAATGAACTAGCCAGAGACATGGGAAGTTCTCTGCTTTCAGAGAATTAGGGGAAAAATCTGGAGAGTGAAGTGCCCTGAGCAGCATTGGAAGAGTGTTTCAGGAAGAAAGTCTCTCTTGCTGCTGAAAGACCAGGTAGGATGAGGTTGAAAAGTGTCCCTGGATTTGACAGCAAGGAGGGCCATTTCATTGAGATGGTGGGGGCCAAAGCGGGTATTAAAAGGCGTTGAAGAGTGAGTGTCCTGGAAGTGAAAGGAGTGCGGCCTTACCTGTGTTATAAAAGAAATGATGGTCTGTTGAGCACACTGAGATGCTGTCTTTTCCTTTGCCTGAGTGGGATATTCACGCCTCTGCTTTCTTCAGTCATTCCCTCATCTAGTAAGGTCCAGCTTAGAGAGGACTTCTCCTGTAAGATTCGTTAAAGCCCGGCCTCTTCAGAAGCATGGACTTCTTACCTGTCAGTGCATTTGCAGTATGTAGCATAACATAAATACATAAATATGCCTATGTGGTTAGTAATCAAAGCATGGGCTTTGCAGTCAGGTAATGTGACCTTGAATGCCTGTTCAGCTGCTCACTACCTCTGTGTGTGACCTTGCAAACTACATTGTCCCTTGTGCCTCAGTTTTCTCATCAGCAAAAGTAGAAAGGGGGTGGTACTGTATCTACCTCAGAGAGTTTCTGTAAGTACTAAATTACGTAATGCATAAAAATACTAATGTGCCTAGCATTGCAAACAATGAGTGCTAGCAATGCTAGCAACGATATTCATTGCTCTGGGATGGTGCCTCTGAATACTTCCACTGCCTAATGCCCTTTTCCCTCCTGCCATCTGACACAAGTCCCCGTACCATTTGTTGGCTTTCTTTTCATGACGTTACTTTCTTTCGTTCAGGCTTGATCTTTTCCAATGGCCAGGAATGGAAGGAGCAAAGAAGGTTTGCCCTGATGACACTAAGGAACTTTGGTTTAGGAAAGAGGAGCTTAGAGGCACGCATCCAGGAGGAGGCCTACCACCTCAGCCAGGCGATGGAAGAGGAGAAGGGTGGGTATTTCCCAGGTCAGGTGCAGGAGACCGTGGCCCATTCATTCACTTATTTAGAATGTATGCACGTGCCTGTCCTGTGCCCAGCACGCACTAAGGATATAACTGAACAACTAACCATGGCCCTGCCCTCATGGAGCTCTAGAATTAAGCAAAAGAAGACAGGCACTAATGACATTACTGATTTTAAACCCTGGTCATCAGTTTGAGTGAGTACTTGCTGTGTCAGAGCCAGTGTAGGGTGCTGCGGCCAGAGCCTCAGATGTGTTTCTATACTAGGTATGTCATACGCCATGTAGACTCTCAGTAGAAAACAGAGACAAACCAATCTGAAGGATCTGCCTTTTCTTCCACCTCCAGGACAGCCATTTAACCCTCACTTCAAGATCAACAATGCAGTTTCCAATATTATTTGCTCCATCACCTTTGGGGAACGCTTTGAGTACCAGGATGGTCAGTTCCAAGAGATGCTGAGGTTACTGGATGATGTCATGCATCTGGAGATGTCAGTGTGGTGTCACGTAAGGGCTTCTCTTGTTACATCTCGGTTAAGGATCTTGGGGATGATGTCAGACACAGATTTCTTAAGCTACAATATAACCCTTTAAAACTGACTTCAACACAAACTTATTTGAAATCAATCTGTGACTCCAGTGTTTTTGATAATATTGTTAAATATTTACTGTATATACAAAGGACAGTTCTAACATTCATGTAAAGCAATAAGCTTTACGTGACATACACCTGTATACTTATATTGTTTTAGTTAAAAAGGACAATAGTGCCATTGCCTTTGAGTTCCCCCTGTCCCTCCATGTCCTTCGCTAGGCCTCCATCTCAGACCTCCTCTCTCAGAAATACTCTTCCTCTGTGCCTAGCTTCTCCATCGGCCGACTGTTTTAAGGTTCATTTGTGTTAGTTGCTCTTTTTAAAAAATTCTGAATAGAATATATTCTCTCTACATATATATAGAATATGTGTTGTATATTCTATTCAATAGTTATAATTGCCATGAAGGAAAATAAAACAGGATACGAGAATGGAAAGAGGGTGACAGGATGGGGGGCTGGAGTTCTAGAGATTTCACAGGAAGAGCCCTCTAGGTGGAAAGAGTTGCAAATGCAAAGGCCTAAACAGGAGCATCCTTGATGTCATTACAGAGACCAATGGGGCTGGACTGGGGAAGGTAAGGTGGCAGGGAGCGACAGCAAACATGCGACAGGTGTGTGCAGGACCCACTCACGTAGAGCTGCTGTGCCCAGAGAAGGGTGTAGAAGTGTCTGTGTGTGTCACGGGAAGTCACTGAAGAATTGATAACCAGAAAGTGAAGTGATCTGATTATACCAGAAATTTTCAACCTTCCTCATCTCAGGGCACACATAAACTAATTCCTAAAGTTCTGTGGCAAACCACAAAATGTATTTATTACTTGCCAACCTGACAAAAATAGGAATCATTTTGACTCATTCACACTGAATGGCTATTATGTTGACTGTTGTCATTTGTTTTTATTTGACAACCTAAGGGAAAAGAGGTCAGTGCCCCAGACTAAAGAGTCAGGTATTGCGTGCTGTAAAATTGCTTGCGGCACGCGGTTGAACGTCGCCGGACCAGATCGTTCAATGATTACTCTGGCCGTTCTGTGAAAAACAGACTGGAAATGGGGTTAAGGATGGAGTCAGAAGACCTGCTAGAGGCTGTCACAGCATCTGGATAAGACATGGTGGTTTGTGCAAGGATGGCAAAGCAGTTGGGGTGGTGAGAAGTGGTCTGAAACGGTACACTTTGGATGGGGCATGGAAATGCTTTGCTGGAGGGATGAGAAGAGGAATGAGGGAGACAAGAGCAGTCCAGGTCTGAGTGTAAGCAAACAAGAGCTAGTAAGAAAACATTTCTGTTGTCTTAAAAAGTGGCATCATGGCGTCTCCATGATTGTTCTGTTTTTCTCGATCAGTTCTATAACAGCTTTCCATGGATAGTGCAATTCCTCCCTGGACCCCACCAACAACTCTTTAACAAATGGGAGAAGCTGAAATTGTTTATTTCTCGTGTGACTGAAAACCACAAGAGAGACTGGAATCTTGACGAGCCAAGAGATTTTATCGACGCATACCTCAAGGAAATAGAAAAGGTGAGGAAACCAAAGTTGTTTCCTGTGTTTTGTGTTTGAAGAACAAATGGGGATCTACTGGTTTCCTCTTGCTGCTGTTAACCAAATTAATAGGATGGCTTACAACAACACAGATTTATTCTCCTCAGCTCTGGAGGTCATAAATCTGAAATCAGTTGGACTGGGAGTAAGTCAAGGTGTTGGCAAAGCTGGCTCCTCTGAAGGCTCTAGGGGAGAATGCATTTCCTTGACCTTTCCAGCTTCTAGAGGTTGCCTATATTGCTTGGCTCATGGCCCCTTCCTGCAGCTTCAAAGCCATCAGTGTAGCATCTTCTCTGCTACCATCCTTATGTCTTCTTCTTACAGTCCTCTTGCCTCTTGTGATTGTATTGGGCCCACTGGGCTTCTCCAGGATCATGTCAAGGCCCTTAACTTAATCACTCCTATAAAGTCCCTTTTCCCATATAACATCCACAGGCTCCAGAGATTAGACATGGACATCTTTGTGAGTCATTATTCAACTTACCACAGGGGCAGGTTTTCAACTTAGAGGCAGGATTTCAGAGAGAGCAAGGGGTAGCTTTAGCTCAGGATGGACGAGGCACTCAGGAATGAAGATGCGGGCTCAGTGGCATTTGGCTTGAGGCCTTGGGAATGCCCAGTGCCGCCTTTGCATCTCCTGTGCTCTACCCTCTACCCATACCTGACGGAGTTGTATGAAAAAGGAAAAATAAGACTTGCGCTTATTTTTCAAAGCTTTGTTTTATTATTAGTTGGACCTGTGCCCAATTACTTACCCCTTCCCTCGCTCCCCAGTGCAGAACGCAAGGAAAGCTGAGTTGAACGTCAGAGTTTACTCTCAAGGCCTGAGTGGGACCCCAGATTGCCCACTTTCCCACATGATAGGAAAGAAACGGGGGGGAAAGCCAAATTGGATGTTTAGCATTAACACAGTCATCTTTCTGATTAATAGACTTCACTGCCTCACTGTCATAGTTTTTGGCTATCACATTATTTGTTCCTCCTGTGGAAGTTAGCAGAATGGTGGATTTCTTTTTCACCCCCTTTCTTATTTCACCTTATTGGCATAATATTAATAGAAACATTGATTGCTGCTCAGAGGAGGAGACTTCGCTTGCTATAGGGGACCACACATTAAGAGGAATGTTGACAAATGGGAGCTTTCAGAGGAAAGTGGTAAAGATGATGAAATGCCATAGGAATACTGATAGATGCAGAGAGTTTTCACCTTGAAGGAAAAGATTAACTGAGAGATATACGACTTGTTGTACATAGATGAATTCAGTTTATTTTTTCAAGTATCAGTATAAATATTTGTTGAGTACTTGCTGTGTGCCCTTTGCCTCTCATGTGATTCATGATGTCATCTTCACAGGTGTGTTTTGTTATTTCTATTTTATAAGACAGGAAATTGAAACACAGAAATGTTAAGTAATTTTCCCCGTGTTATAGAAAGTGTGAGTGGTGTTGCTAATATTGGAACCCAAGTCTAACTCTCCACTGTACTAATAGCTTCTCCCAAATTGTAGGCATAAAAAATAATTGTCTTGATTTTCATTCACCTAAACTAATAAAAGTTCCCAACCCTTGGGGCAGGGCTATGCTAACAATATTCCTGTAATAGGACTCTGCCTCTGGAGGAGGCCAAAGGGAAAGAAAGCTTTTTCTCCCGGGCCTCTTTCCTTCCACGTGCTCTCCCTGGGATGAAGCCCCTGTGCACCGTGGCAACCAAGGACCCTCTAAATAAGCTAACAGACATGGTGCCTTCCAGCATGTGGGCAATGCGGCTTCCAGTTTCAATGAGGAAAACCTCATCTTCTGTGCTCTGGACCTCTTCTTTGCTGGAACCGAGACAACTTCGACGACGCTGCGCTGGGGTCTGCTTTACATGGCCCTGTACCCAGAAATCCAAGGTGAGTGTGTCAGGGAGTGTGCCTGGGCGGGACACAAGGGCTCCTCCTTGAACGCACCGCCCCAAAGTTGGGAGCAGAAGATACCGTGGCAGAGTGGAGAAGTAGGCAGGACAGTCACCAGGCAATGTGGACTTGAGAACGGGCGCGTTCTTCAATTTTTATGTCGTGATTTGAATGGATCCACGTAACACAAATATAACAGAGTCCCTGCCCTCAGGAAATTCAAAGTCTAGGGGGGAAAACAGTGAGGTTAACTGACATTGTGGTAAGTTCCCAGGAAGAGTTACGTTCCCGAATGCAATCTGGTCTTAGGGGAGATTAGATGTCTGACAATAGGAAAGAAAGGAAGGAAGAAAGGAAGAGAGGGAGGGAGGGAGGGAGAAAGGAAGGAACCTGGTCCTAGCCTTCTGTCCTTTTACGTTGTCTTCCATTGGCCTGTAGAAATGCTCAAACTTCTCCCTTTGATCTATCACATCCTCTGCTGTGCCTCTTACTTCCTGTGCAGCCTCAACTCCACCCACCCTGCATGGTGGCCTCATTAAATTACATGTCATTTTCTTTGCACTGTCATTGTTTATGCCTCTGTGTCATCACATCTGCTCTTCCCTCTAGGAAAATGTATTTCCCTAATTTCTCTACATGTAAGCCACTAGCACTGCTTGAAGAATCTGCTCAACACTATGTCTCATGTTTCCCCAATCCTCTAGAAAATTACTAGCATTCTCTTTCTCTAGACATGACCTAATGCACCTCCATTAATGTACTTATCGCATAATATTTATATATCTTCCCCACAAACTGTAGTCCATTCAGTGACAGTGACTGTTATAATCAGTTTCTTTCTCCAGTTCCCAGAACAGTTTGAGTGCATGAGGGTCAGATTTGTTATTATACAATTTTTTAAACTGTGGGTAACAGTTTATTAAAGATATATAAAATCAATTTAGTGAATCAAGACTAATTTTTCCTAAAATAAAAATAGAATAGAAAAGAGCAGAGTGCTTCCCATGTACTAAAGATAAGTTTGTTCATGCAAGTTTATATATATATGTCTTTTGTTTTATATGTATGTATATTTATGCTTATGTATCCTCAGTCATGATGCAAAATGCCTTTGCAACTGTGAATTACATTATTTTTAAAAAGTATAGGAACTGCTTAGTTAGGATACAGGCTTGGCCTCTATAATAGAGGCTCCAAAATAATAATAGTTAAGGTGATAGAAGTTTACACCCATGTTCATAGCAGCATTATTCACAGTTGCCAAGTGTCCATCGATGCTGAACAGATAAAATATGGAGTATAATGGAATATCATTCAGCCTTGAAAAGGAAGGACATTCTGACACATGCTTAATTAAACATGGATAAACCTGGAGGACATTATGCTAAGTAAAATAAGCCAGTCACAAAAACACAAATACTGTATGATTCCACTTATATGAAGTGTCCACAGCAGTCAAATTCATAGAAACAGGAAGTAGAATGGTACTTGCCAGAGGCTGGGGAACAGGGGAAAATGAGGGCTTGTTGTGTAACGAACGCAGAGTCTCAGTTTTGCATGTTAAAAAAGTTCTGAAGATTGGTCGCATAATAGTGTGACTATACTTCATGCTATTAAACTATACACTTAAAAAAGGTTAAAATGATAATTTTTTGTGTATTTTACTACTACTAAAATGTTTTAAATGGACAGTAAAAACAAAAGATAGAAGTTTATTTCTCTGAGTTAAAAAATTGGAGCTGCACCCTGCAGAGCCCCTTGTGTTCCACGCTCTCTCCACTGTGTTGTTCCGATGTATCTAAAATGATGTTTTGTTGGCACCAACAAAGATCCTCCCCACTAAGGCTGCTTTCCCACCAATAAGGGAAGAAGGGGAAGGAGGCAGACGCCCTTCCTGTAAGGGCATGTCCCAAGTAGTAAACGTTCCTCCTACACACTTTCTGTTGCCCAGAACTTTGTCACGTGGTCACACTTAGTCAAAAGGGAATCTGGGAAATGTAGTCTTTGGCTGGGGAACCAGGTATCCAACTAAAATATCTATTATTGTAGAAAAAGGGAAGAAAAAAAACAACAGATATTGGGGGACAATTAGCAGTTTCTATCATTTGTTAAGTACCTAAATCGGTTAATATAAATCTCAAAATATCCTTAAGATAAAGGTAGATTTAGCCTCACTTGATAAACAGAGGAAACTGAGACTCAAAGAACTTAAGTAACTTGCAGCAGTGATTTTTCAGAGCAAAAGTTTACGGCCAGAATTGTCCTACACCAGGGCCCGCTGTCCACCCTTACTACCTCCTTGATGAACAAGAGTCTGTAGAGTCCACTATCATTTTAGGCACATTGATCCCAGCGATTCCATTCTTTAGCTTAACAAGGCTCCAGGGAAGGTGGAGAATAATAGAATTTTCTTTTCTTTTCAAGAAAAAGTGCAAGCTGAGATCGACAGAGTGCTTGGGCAGTCTCAGCAGCCGAGCGTGGCTGCTCGGGAGCTCATGCCCTACACCAATGCCGTCATCCACGAGGTGCAGAGGATGGGAAACATCATCCCCCTGAATGTGCCCAGGGTAGCCAGCGCCGACACCACGCTGGCCGGGTACCACCTGCCCCAGGTAGCGAGCTGCCCTCCCGCTTCAGATCTGCAAGTGCTCTCTTTGTTTTTCAATCCTCACCCGAGGATATTTTTTCCATCGCTTTTCAGATAGTGGAAGGGAGGGAGGGGGGAGAGAGAGAGAAACAAACATCAACGTGTCTAGACACATAGATTGGCTGCCTCCTGCACACACCCTGGGGAGGGGCAGGGATCCAGCCTGCAATGGAAGCACGTGCCCTTGGGCAGAATCAAACCCAGGGCCCTTCAGTCCGCGGGCCACGCTCTAACTGCTGAGCCAAACAGGCCAGGCAAGCTCATTGCTGTAAGTGGTAGGTAGGCATCTGAACTCGAAATGTTACATAGATTCTTGTCTTAGGGAATCACTGAAATGGGGAGAGATATATGTTATGCCTGTTTTCAATACTTGTTTTTTCTTCTTGTGTCGCCTTTAGAACATTAGTTCAGCTAGATACTAATGGTTATTATGGAGGGGAAAGGGGATTCTTGGGTCAGATATGTCTAGGCAAAGACTGGCTTTTCTCTGCTATGGGATTTTTCAGTGTTTTTACTATGAAATGCATATTGTGAATTTTGTGGAGATACAGCTGTTCTTAGTCAGACTTTGCCACTGAATCTTCTTCTTTGCCTTGGTAGAACATCTCACAGGACGAGGGACCTTCCAGACTTACTTTGGAAAATTCTGCTTCACAATCCTGCGGTTATAGAACATTAAAATATAAAGGGACGCATGGGCCAACATCACATTATTGCTGGTGTTTCTAATGTAAGATTCCCACAGGTGTTTTCTCAGCTTTGACTTGCAGCCCTGTGGTGGGACTGTCTCATAGGAGAAACCAGTCCAAGTGTGTGCAATATTAAGCATTAGAAAAGGAGAGAAAGAACACATATTTGTTGAGCAATAATTATGTGCCATGGACTACATAGGCTCTTTCAAAATGTCTTCATCCTCAGAATAAGCCTGTTATTTCTATTGTATTAATTGGGAAGTGTGGTCTCAAATCAATTCAGCTTGGGCAAGATATCTCAATGACAGAGTGACAAGAGTTGGGTTCAAGAACCAGATCTGTTCTGATTTCCAGGCTCATCTTTTTTGTGCTACATCATGTTCTCTACACAGGAGTTGTTTTACCTTTACCTTAAAAGAGTCTTCTTGCAATTGCTCTCAATTTGTCACTGCTCAATTATGTGTCCTCACAAAGGACATTCTGATCTCACTCTGCCCACCAGGTTCATGATCTCAGCAGACAGCTTTCCTGTACTGCCCAGTGCTCTCTCTACACACTGCACCTTTACAGCTCCCTCGCCTTCTCACCATCTTGGTCGGCCTCTGTGGGTCAATCCCAGCTGCCCATTGCCTCTGCATGTGTAGTACCTGAAAATGAACTTAGAAGGCCGAATCGGGGGG